GTCTATTAACAGCGGCCCAGTATTTACGCATTGAGGGCTCGTCGTTATACACCGCGTATTTCTACCCATTTTGTACAGACAACCGTCGCTATGAGGTGTTAGTGAAAGCGTTGCACAACTTTTTCATCCCATATATTTGCATATATTTTAATAACAGAAAATCAAATGAAAATAACTTAAGCATTTTATTTTAAATAAAACATTTCAAAGTAGGATGTTATATATATATATATTATTTTTATGTCACCATGATCGCAACAACTTTCAATACTGGACTTTAACATAAGCCACGGGTTTATCGTTGGCGTCGACTATAAGTCTAGTGTTTTCCGGTGTCTTCTCTTTAGTAATCCTCACTCTCTGTAGACTCGGATCCGAGTTATCAGACGAAATGCGTTGAAACGGAAGGTTGAATAACAACTCCAGGTTTTTCACATATTTCTCTCGGGCCACATTAAATACACGGCCTGTGCTGTCCTGAGCGATCAGGTGCATAAACCCGTCGCCATCGTATTGCTCTAAAGCCACCACTCGAGGTAAATCTGTATCAGGGTCCATTTTCTGTTTTGCTATATTGTAAAATAATTTATAAAATAGATTAATTTCAATTGTCACAGTTGTAATATTAGTTAAAGTTGCATATATTGCATATATGACATACTTGCTTATTTTTAATAATTATTATATTTTATAAATTAAGTCAATACTTTTAATTGTTAAATAAAATATATATTTATTGTATCGCATTTATATACAACTAATTGGTCAATATTCTGCCGTAGAAACTTTATATCTTGTTGATAAACAAAGAATTTAGTTTATTGCGATTCTTATCAAGTGTACTTAACAAGTAACATAACATACGTATGTTACACTATGCACTATTCACTAATATTACATAGAAGTATTCATGTGTACTATCATTTAGTACGATCACAAATAAGTATAAATGTCAACAATGTAGTATAATAAATTAAATTATAAAGTAACTTGGTTACAATGATATGTATGAGTTAAGGTTAAAACAAAGTATAAATCAGTATAATATAAAAATCAATAAAACTTAAGTAATCAATGTTGATCATTCATTCAATAATTAGTGATTTATATATTATATTAGATTTAGTTNAGTATAAATCAGTATAATATAAAAATCAATAAAACTTAAGTAATCAATGTTGATCATTCATTCAATAATTAGTGATTTATATATTATATTAGATTTAGTTATATAAAGATTTATGTAAAATTTATATACAGTAGTGTTTTAAGTTAATAAGAAATGCATATATTTACTACAGTTTAAAACAAATAACTATTATTACCGTAGTTATTAACATGCTTAATTTTAATTTTAAGTGTCTATTTTTTAAAATTTTATAATTATGAAAATATGGTAAATTTCTAAAATTTTATTATTTTAAATTGTTTTGTAACAAATGGTTAAATTTTTTTTAATAAAAACAATTAATCAACAAATATTAAGTATATTAAATTAAGTAAAGTAAACTTTATATTAAATCAATAAAATGCCTAGATCCTCTATAAATACATGAAGCGCTTTTGCCTTCTTGACACCATTAGGCATTTTATCAAGGTCAGCGTTCAACTCGGTGAATATGTGCTGTACTAAATCGTGAATCTTAATTTAAACAAATAGGATACATTAAAAATAAAACAATTTACAAAATAAACTGCAAAATAAAATCAAACACTTGAGATAAATAAACAAATAAAGTTACCTGTATATGTAGGGAACCCCACAAAGTGTCCTGACGTTTAGTCTTAATATAATTGGACGCCCATAAGACCATGCGCAAAATAGTCTCTTGTAACTTGGTCAATTTATCTCGCAGCACTTGCTCACTGTCAGTTACCTTGAGCATATTTTTGCGCCTCACATCCAACTTGGCTTCCATATACCTATACTCTTCAAACGATGAACCTATGTAATACTCCACATTGTGTTTGAACATGGTGATATTTGGTGGCGGCTCGTATGCGTCCATCACGGCATACATGACTGGCATATACTGTTGGGCTCTATTGATTAGCCGGTGGTAGAAGTTGTCGATTATGTCCAGACCGTGAAAGTGCCGATATTTCATGCCCTGTAGTTTCATAGCGGCTATTATGACGTCTAGATTGGCCATGGTCAATTCGCGCATTTGCGCCTTGCTGCATTTGTCGTACTCGGCTTCGGTTTTGTAGCGGAAATCTAGTTTGTCCGTTGTTGGGCTACATGATACTTTTTTGTATACATATTTATTATTATTATTAATTATGATTTGTTTTTTAAATAATTTGTAATTTTTTAAAACAAACATGATATTATTTTAAAAATAACTCACCAATAGAAACGAATGCAAATATATAAATTAAATTCATGCTACTATGTTATGGTATTACTTTAGAATGTGATTTTGTATAATTCATTAGCTAGTGCCATTTATATAGTACAGATTTTGAGCATTGATTAATTTTTCTAGTATCTAGAAATAATAAAAAGTTACAAATCACACTACAAATCCACAATGTTCACAATAATGCTTAAATAATAATAAATTAACATTGATATTCTATAAAAAGTAACAATTATATTTATCTATCATACTAACACATGGTAGATAACAATGGTATATAATGCACCATAATGATTGATTTGTTGATAATCCTTATTGATTAAAAATAAATGTTGACAATCATTAATTGTATACTTTATGTTTGTTAATAAAAATTAAAGTAGATCATTTTGACACAGGAATTAACTATAATGAAAATAATTCTGTGTATTTGGGATCACAATTGGATATAAAGTTGTAACTTTAAGGTTAAATTAAAACTTTACATATGATTTTTGAGGTTAGCAATCAAAGTGATAATTAATGTACTAGTTTACTTAATACTTATTTGCTATTATCTATGGCATTCATTGAGTGACAATAGTGAGTGTAAAATACAATACAGGTATATAAATTATCAAAATATCATTATTGCAAGCTCAATCAATTCAATGCAGTTCATTATGAGGGTATAATGTACTTACTATGTACATCATTATATATCAATTCATAATAACCAATATTCTAGCGCTTCTGTGTAGATATATCAGCTGGTTTAAGCTTATTATAAAGTCAAGTGACTATTTGTAAGTACAATGTGTATCGAATACCTTAATCACCTAGTACCTTCAATAACGAGTATTTTATTACTGTATTAAAGTATCAACAATTAAGTCATGAATGTTTTAAACTAATAATTTAATTAATTATTTATTTATATTTAATGTTAATCCAATATAAATAACAAGGTAGATATTTCATAATTATAAAGTGTGTTATTGCAAAACAATGACCAATGATTTACTAAATGATAGTGATGTTAATAATGCACCTAACGTTATAAATTATAATAATGCCAGCAATCACATGGACAAAATGACCAGTGCACATTCTGGTCATGATGAGTACAAAATTAACTGTAATACCCAAATTAATGGCCAAAATGATCTCGATGTTGCTAATATAAATAATCAACATGCAACCAAATTAACCTTGTTTGAAAAATTTAAACAATTATTCACGACTCAATTCACCAGGAAAGAATTGTTTTTGATTTCCATATTAAGCATTGACAGCTATCTGTTTGGTGCAGTGTTTTCTATACCTGGCGCATTTTTCCCCACCGAGGTTAGTTTCGAAATTAAGTGTAATTAAATGTTTGTAATGTTTTTATATTATTTAATAATGTAGGCTAAACATAGAAATGTGAGCGAAACATGGGTTGGACTAATTACCGGCCTAAATGAGTTTGTTGATATACCAAGCATGTTTTTTGCTAGCTTTCTAGTATGAATATTTTATAACTAATTTATGTTATTTAAATAAACTAATTATCATTTATAATTAATAAGTTATCTAGACTAAAAACAAAGACAGTACTCATTATTTGCATGATATTTGTTGGTACAATAAATATTGCATTTGGGTAAATATGGTTAAATAAATCCATCTTAATACAATAGATAATTAAAATTGTAATTACTTTGAAGCTTACTACAATGGTGCTATACTCCATCAATATTTATTTCAACTGGTATAATTATGCGCATGTTAAACGGGGTGGGAATGTGTACGTGGTTTATAGCGTGCTATAATGTTGTATTTCTGATGTTCCCTGATCATTTATCCCGGATTTATGTATGCTTTACAACACTAATACATCATAATCAATAATTACTTAGATTTAATAATATATGTAAAACAAATAAAACTCATTTTAAAGGCAATTATCGAGATGTTATATGCAGTCGGTATGATCTCTGGGTCAGGTCTGGGTGGATTTTTGTATCAGGTATGTATAATATAAATAAAATGTACATTACTATTATAATTAAAATAATTTAATTAAATTAGCTTGGTGATATGGGAAATTTAGGCTTTTGTTTGCCATTCTTTTTTCTCGGTGTTTCATTACATATCATAGCAATTGTTGCCATCAAATATATACGAGCTGAAAGTATTTATAATTAATTAATTAATCTTGTTATATTTAAAAAGTAATGTTGGAACTTGTTCATAGAGCACCAGGCTGACACTGGTAAAGCTAATATATGGGACTTATTATCCAAGTTTAGTATCATGTTGAACGTGGTGATCAACTTTAATGCCGGCGCTCTCATTGGGTTTAACATCAGTACATTGGATGTGCATTTGGAAAATGTAAGTATTTTTCCATAGCAATAAATAAAAACATGCTAACTCAGCTGTTGTAAAATATTGTATGTAAAAAATAAACATAGCTGTAATAGAAAATTAAAATTGTTTTTTTAAAGCAATAAACCAAAAACTGTTAATTGTTTTTCATAGCTATAAACTAGAAAATGTTAATAGTTTTCACACTTTTTTAAAAATAATATAAGATTTATTAGTCTTATAAACTTATTGATTTTTCAAAATAAACATGCTATATAATGTTATAACATTTATTTTAGATTGCCGACTTATCACCTTCAGTAAAAGGTACAATATTCCTCATATCAGGCATTGTATACATTATAAGTAACCAGTTTTGGGCCAATTTGGCCGACCGTATGGCCGACTGTCACGGACTGAGTCTATTGGGATGTGTGTCTAGTTTGGTGTGCTTTACGTTTGTCGGTCCCATACCTGCACTACCATTTAAACCGTAAGCAATTAATAGTTTATTAAACACTAACTATTCAATATGTTTTAATAACATGTTTATATTTAATAACACTAGTCAATTATGGATCGTAATAGTGACCCAGGTGTTTTTAGGGCTGAGCGTTGCACCGCTACTTGTGGGCAGTTTTGTTCAAGGATTTCGAGAAACATTGTAACGCAATTGAATAGATCTAATTATCATGTTAATTTAATTTAATCTTACCACGCTTTCTTTTGCAAATAGTACAATACATGGTTTTCCAGAAAATGAATCCATTATTAATTACGTGTCCGGTATGTTTGTGTCGGCTGAAGCATTAGGGTATGTTTAAATGTTGGACAATGGTGTTTATTAAATAAAATGTAAATAATTATTATTTGCAATTTAATTCGTATAAGGAGTGCCCTTGGTCCAATTATTGGTGGTTATATTCTCGATCATTACGGGTATGGCTGGTCAACAGTGCCTGTGTTTGCACTACAAATAATACTTGTAATTAAAATTGTTAATTATTTTTAAGTTTTAAAAATAGCTATTGTAAAAGATCTGATTTAATTTGTAATTAATTATTGCATTGTTTTTATAGATTGCCATAACATTAGCATTGATTGTTAAAAGAAGATACTCACCAATTACTATGATACTAAAAAGTACGGAGTAATAAATTTAATTGTTAATAAATTAAATAGGATACAAATATAATTTTTTAAAATTTTATTTTGTAATATAATAAAAATATGTAAAATCCTATATATTAATTTAATTATGTCTGTAAACTGTTGCATAACAATATAAATGGAGGGCATGCAACAATGGTTTTTGATTTAATTGATTAATTTTTTAACGGGAAATGCGAGCGCGCGGGGATTTTAATTGTTAAAAAGCTGTTGATTGCAAGCACGCGGGCTAATGAATTGTTGGCCATATTTATAATGTTTAAGTTATATTGACTTGGTTTAGGTTAGGTTGGGTAGGTAGGGGACAATTAAGAAAGGTAGGGACAAGTAAATTTTAAGGTACAGGGTCATCTAATCGTACGAAAAAGTAATAGTAAGCGATGGGTGGTTCTATGCTAGTGAAAAATATTAAAATTATATTGATAACATGTTGCATTAATGATAATATTTTTATTTCTAAAAAGGAGTCCATGTCCACGCAACTCAATTAATACCGACGGGATTGATATCGTTGTGTTTAGTACAATGTGTAGGTGTGTATTCAGCCTTCAAAACCTGCGAATGGCCACAAACACCGAAGTTATGGCCAAATTTCAAACCACTTGTATAGGGCTCAATGCATTGAAAACTTGTTTTTTACATGAGTAATGTCATTCATCAGAATTGTAATGCATTGAGCCCTATGCAAGTGGTTTGAAATTTGGCCATAACTTCGGTGTTTGTCGCCATTCGCAGGTTTTGAAGGCTGAATACACACCTACACATTGTACTGAACACGACGATATCAATCCCGTCGGTATTAATTGAGTTGCGTGGACATGGACTCCTTTTAAGTTTAATAAAATTAATTACATGAAATATTGCAAAAAATAATATATTGTTCTAAACTATAAGTTACGGAGTATTGCAAAAAAAATTAATAACTGTTAACTTGTAGTATAACTTAAGTTAACTATTTATTTATTATCGGCTATAATTTTGAGCAAATATTAGGCCAATGTTTAATGCGGCAATAAATAGCAATATAAAACATAGCATTCTGTGAGCATTTTATTAATATCACAAAAAAGTGTAAAATTATTTAGGTAAAAAACCAAGAGGCACCTAACTCAATACAACTTATTCACTATACGTTTGTGACGGTAATGCATTAATACCACATAATTTTCACTTAATTGATGAAATGTCCACGTCCATACGAGCAATGTCCAAGGTAAGTTATACATTTTTTAACATTATTTAATATGTTTAAACTATTAATATTAAAACATATAATAATTATAATTGTGTAAAACAAGTCAATGAGTATTAAAAGGCCACACTATTGAAAAATAAACTATTTACTTGTATAGTTTTGCTAAATATAAAATAAGTTATAAGTTTTATGATATTGAGTATTAATCATAATTTACCAATTTAATTAGCTGGTTAACAAAATCAAAATTATGACCACCGTCACCGATAGTTTACTCAGCCCTAAATATCCGATACCAAAAATCATGGTAACAATATTCCCATACGAATGCAATCCATTACACAACACGCAACCAATGACCGCAAGGGCTGAGCAGTGGTCATACGAGTCGAGTCTATTAACTGCGGCCCAGTATCGACGGGTTGAGGGCTCGTCGTTATACACCGCGTATTTCTACCCATTTTGTACAGACAATCGTCGCTATGAGGTGTTAGTGAAAGCGTTGCACAACTTTTTCATACTCGACGACCACTTGGAGACCCCGTACGGCGATATGGATCGCCAAACGGCGAAAGTGGACACAATTTTGGGCCAGTTTTACAGTATGTTGAATAAACTACGGGGTGACCAACACGTGCCGGCGCACAGCTGGAAACCCTATATACTGGCCTCGTATGCCATCTATGATGATATAATCCATGGCATGAATGAGATTCAAAAGCACCGTTTGTTGCGGTACTGGACATGTCTTACGGACTCAATGGTTGCCGAATGTAAACATTTAAACGATAACAAGCGATACACTAATATTGATGAATTCTACCAGGTAAGTTTTACTTTCATTTATTATACAGTGCAACCTCTCTTGGGGAAACTTCTCTTGGGGAAAC